TTTGACATGTTTCTGCACATAATAAACTATGTGCAAATAATTCAAGGTGTTTTACAGACATGTTTAAAAGGTTTAAAACATCCAGAAAGTAGAGAAGTGAAACAACTGAGAAGATTTCCTATACAACACAAATATAAAATTACATATCTTCAAAACAACATCTGCAAAAGCAACTCTAGTACATGGTAATGATGTTGATGTCCATACCAAAGCAACTGAGGTTTAATAAACAGATCAATCAAAAGATAAATAGTTCAGAGTGATATGCAAGTTTTTGCTGGCTCTTTCCGACACTCAGTATAAAGATGAGAGAAGCTACTTTTGCTCTGAAACCCAGGTACCTTGAGGCCCTCCCGCTGTAGGTCCTGTGCTAGATCATGACAGAGAGCCCTACACAGGGAATACTGCTCCTCTGCATCACTCATCTCCCCAAACGTCCTAAAAGAAAGAGTGAATAGAAATAACACGAATAAATTGACAGGAGGAGGAAACAGGAAGTTGATTTCAAGTTTACAGAAATGTTTGGATCTGAAACATGTGCTGAAGACTGGAGAAAACTTTGAGATGATTACCTCTTCTTTCTGAGTCCCTGAAACAAAACACAATTTTTTCCATGAAACATTACAACCAAATTATTATTCTGTATCCAACAAACTACTACGCAAAAATGTTTGACACTGTAACATTAAAAAAAGGGCACACCTCTCGATACATGTGGAGCCCAAACCCAAAGATATGTGAAGGAAATTACGCCAGGAGGTTCCCGAAAAAGCAGGGATAGTAGCGCAATCTGCTGGCCCAGTTGGTCACAGTTGACAATACCCAAAGCAGCCACCATCTTCTCTGTAACCTTTCCCAAACCAGACACCTGGAATAAATAAACAATAATATTAGGCCACGTTAATGAGCTATAAGACTTATAGATAAACGGGTCAGACAGACCTTTCTGACAGGAAGATCCTGTATAAACTCCATCACAGCTTGTCTCTCAGGAGGAATTCGGTACTGGCCATTGGGCTTGTTTTTATCACTGCATACTTTTGCAAGCATCATGTTTGGGGCGATGCCTATAAGAGAGATTAAACAATGAAATAAATACTCTACATTTCTTACATAATGTGGGAAGACTGTATATGCTTACTTCTGCAATTTAAGTGTAAATAACTAAACAAACTATCCAGTCTCTCACCTGCACTGGCAGTAAGAGATGTTTTCTGCTGAATACGGAAGCGCATCTCCCTCACAGCCTCCTCTGCACTCGTCCCAAACACCTCTGCTTTCCTATCAGCCCCTGAAAGAGAGGGCGAGGAGCTGGGACTCTCCTCAAACAGCACAGGAGACCGTTCATCTTTCTCTGATTCAGCTGTAGACTTGTCTGTATCATTTTCTTTTAAAGAACAGGATAAAAAACATAAATCAAGCTACTTTAACCACTCATAATAAAAGACACACTTTCATTGTCAACGCTTTCACAAAGTAAAAATTGGACCTGTTTTTAAAGTCTACTAGCCCGGGGATTTTTAATCTTTTAGATGCTATGGACCCCCAAATATGATCATCCTCGTGTGAGGGACCCCCATCCTAAAATGTAAAAATGTTTGTATAAAGACCCAATTTATACTGTGAAAAATTTATATTATAAATTAGACTTTTTTTCTACTTCCTATAGTACTGTAAGATTAATTTTATTTATTTCTTACTTGATTTAAATACAATGTTTGCATCTGATGTATGTGATGAAGACTGAAAACAACTTTGAGCAGATTACCTCTCAATGCTCATGTTTTGTAAGCTTTATGTATTATTTATTCATTTATTTAAATACACTTTTCATTCATTTAATCCTTTTTTAAATTAAATATTATTATTTATTTAGACTTTTTTTATACACAGTGTATCTCTAAACTTTTCCTCTGCATGGACCCCTCTAGCACACCTTTCCAGAGCCCAGCTTGAAAACCCCTGCACTAGCATCACAGATGCAATATGTTCGCATGGTCTCGGGCCAGTGCTTCCGCTGCTCAGTGATATCCAGATAAGCCTCGTCCAGACTCATAGGCATGAAATGAGGGTCATATTCTGAAAATATCTCTCGCACCTTTAAGACAGACCCAGGCATTAACAAACAGTAGCTATGACTATTGAATAATGTAGGACTGATATACAACATACCTGGGCACTTACTGCTCTGTATTTGTCAAAGTTAGTCGGCACAATGACAAGATTTGGACAGAGATTCTTCGCAATGAACCCTGGCATGGCAGCACGAACACCAAACCTACTAGCGTGGTAATTGGAGGTTGACTGAAAATGATAATTTTAAATGTCAACATTGTAGATACAGTGGGTACAGAAAAGAATCACCCCCCTTTAAAATGATCACATTTTGTTTGATTCTGTTTTTAAAAAAACATTTCTGACATGTTGGTGTTATATCTTTCACTTGGGTGTTATAAGTTGCACTGAGTAAATCCAGCTGGATAAAACAAAAACTGTGTCCGTCTTCATTTCAGGCTGCAAAGCAACAAAATGTGATTATTTTAAAGGGGTGATTCTATTCTATACCCGCTGTATGTGACGATGTTCTGCGAGGTTTATTTTAGATTCTCACCAGCATGCTCATGGATCCCACTGCCATCGGTTTGTCCTTCAGCTCCGGGCAGTCTCTCATTTCGACAGCAGCATAGAAGGCGTCCATGTCTACGTGAACTATCACACGGCCCAGCTCTCGACTTCTCTCCAGTTCATACGTCAGTTTGTCCACCTATGGTATGAAAACTCTTAAATAATAATTCTATCTAAAACGGGTCCTAAAATTAATGTAGTCACTGTATATGTAATGCAGTGTAATGTAATGTAATTCTCACATAAATATGTCCATGAAGGTCTCACCCCAGTTTATATTTTGCATAAAGACAACATAGCTTATTTTAGGACCATTAAGGTTTATTGCATGTGACATTATTTTTATGACAATAAAGCACAACTGTCATTACCATAATGCATTCAGATGTATTATTTTTGAGTTTGTAATTCTCAATATTTTTACAATTGTGTAAAACATTAATGAGGGTCATCCTGCACAGACACAATTATTATTTTTTTGTAATTAATATCAATATAAATTAACCATGATGCATACATACTTTAAAAACTTTTGATTTAAATAATATATCTTTTTTTTTCAATATGATAGTGTGAATTAGATTTTTACACATTACAGCAATAAAACCGACACAGGAAATTTGTGTGTTCACATGGTGGGGAATCCAATCATAACATTTATGACAATCATTACAGAGTTGGTTACCTCTACTTGTGCTTGCTTCATTCAGTTCTTTAGACCTGTTTGCACTGATCATCCTTGAGATGTTTCTACAACTTTAAATTCAGTTGATTGGACATGATTTGGACAGGCACACAACTGTCTATAAGGTCCCACAGTTAACAGTGCATGTCAGAGCACAAACCAAGCCATGAAATCCAAGGAGTTGTCTGTAGACCTCCGAGACTGGATTGTATCAAGGCACAGATCTGGAGAAGGGTACAGAAAAATTTCTGCAGCATTGAAGGTCCCAATGAGAACATGGTGGCCTCCATCATCCATAAATGGAAGAAGTTTTGAACCACCAAGACTCTTCCTAGAGTGGACCGCCCGGCCAAACTGAGCAATCGGGGGAGAAGGGCCTTAGTCGGGGAGGTGACCAAGAACCCGATGGTCACTCTGATCAGAGCTCCAGCGTTTCTCTGTGGAGAGAGGAGAACCTTCCAGAAGAACAACCATCTCTGCAGCACTCCACCAATCAGGCCTGTATGGTAGAGTGGCCAGATGGAAGCCACTCCTCAGTAAAAGGCACATGACAGCTCGCCTGGAGTTTGCCAAAAGGCACCTGAAGGACTCTCAGACCATGCTGTGCACCGACGCTCCCCATCCAACCTGATGGAGCTTGAGAGGTCCTGCAAAGAAGAATGGGAGAAACTGCCCAAAAATAGGTGTGCCATGCTTGTAGCATCAGACTTGAGGCTGTAATTGGTGCCAAAGGTGCTTCAACAAAGTATTGAGCAAAGGCTGTGAATACTTATGTACGTGTGTGTGTGTGTGTGTGTGTGTGTGTGTTTAATTTGCAAAGATTTCAAACAAACTTCTTTCACGTTGTCATTTTGGGGTATAGTTTGTAGAATTTTGAGGAAAATAATTAATTTAATCCATTTTGGAATAAAGCTGTAACATAACAAAATGTGGACAAAGTGAAGCACTGTGAATACTTTCCGGATGCACTATACTCTACTCTAGGTTGTATGATTTTTATTTTCAAGTTGGGATTAAGTTAGTTAAATTAATACCAGAATCAACTACATCACTTCATTTTTAAAGGGGTCATATGATGCGATTTCAATTTTTCCTTTCTCTTTGGAGTGTTACAAGCTCTTGGATTACACCAAATACACAAAATAATGTTCTTTTTAGCAGCATCATATGGCCCCTTTAAAGCACTGAGAAGTTGTCACAAGGTCTTAAAATGCTTTCTGCCAAGAATCATGATAGTTGTCTAATGATGGTCGTTATGACGTGTTTTAAATGTATAAAACTTTTATTTATTATAGCTACGATGGTTTTATATTTTTGTCTGTTTCATTAATTGTTGTATGTTTCAAAATTGTTGTACTGTTTAAATATAAATTAAAAGGCCCTATAGACTCCAGTGAACTTATCCCCAAAAGTGGGTCATGTATGCAATAACTATTTTGTGGTCGACTCTATGATAGGATATGTCTACACAAACACGGAAATAAACCTTCAGTATAAACCTTCAACCTTCAGTGACAAATAGTTCCTATATAAAAGATGAGTTTTAACGCTGTTACAGAGTGCACTGTATCGGCCAGAAATGTAACACGTGATTTTAGTTTCGCTCTTGGCTAATGGCCAGTGCCGAGAAATGATGGCTTGGCCGTTTGCAAAGTCTCGCGAGAGTTCATTATGACATTTTATTTATTGTGAGTAATTTCCGAACTGCGTTTTTGCGCCTTTGCCTTGAAGGGCATTTCGGGAAGAGGGCGCCTTTTGTTGTGTTTGTTTAGAGTCCAAAATAGTTATCTGTACTCCATCCGTAGTAACAGCAAATGCGATTCTCGCGATATTTTTGCGACAGTCAAGACTTCCGGATAATGACGAGTGGGCGGAAAGAGGATCTGAATCGACGGACTGTAAAATAACTCTTACAAATGGGAATTATGCGTAAAGAAATAGTAACAACAGTGCTGTGACAGTTTTATTTTTTGATTTTTAGCGGGTTTAACAGATAGTTTTGTGTTTTAATTGTATTGTGTGAGTATATTATAACTGCACACACTACGCAACATTTACTTTGTTGATCGTAAAAGGACCTGGCGTGTTTGGAAGAAAGCCATTGAATGTCGCTTTCACGAGCCGTACAGATTTCACGGTGAGAGATATGGATTAAACATCGTCGAAATGACCCGCCACGTTTGCGTAGGGGCGGTTTTGATGCTGTTAATCAACATCGGTAAGGACACAAAATACATGATGTGTGGAATTGCAGTAACTGTAATATTTAAAAGAGCGTATAATTACTTTTTATAACCATAACCTAGAATACCGCCTGTCTGTTTTATTTCAGAGGGGACATTCTGCTTATATCCGCCTCAGGATGTCAAGTTAGTCGGATCATATCTGCAGTGGAAGAAGCCTCCGGATGAAGATAGTGTGCTGTATTTACTGCAGTATAAACATGGCTCGTAAGCGTTTTGTTTTAAAGGGATAGTTAAACTAAAAAGACAATTATATCATCATTTATTCACCCTCATGTTGTTCTTTCTACACTGAAGCACAAAATGAGAAGTTAGACAGAATGGCAGTCACTGTTCGCTTTCATTAGCCCTTTTTCCATACAGTGAAATTGGATGGTGACTGAGGCCTTAGTAGAAAAACTAACTCCTTCTCTATGGTTACTTTGATTTTAGCAAATCAGACGATGAATGGTACAATGTGATGAGCCATAACGAGACCGAGTTAAGATTTAAAATCACTCCCGAGTTTTATGAAGCAGTATTTCGAGTACGCGCAGAGAAAGGATACAACATGTCTGAATGGCAATATTCAAAGAAAGTCCAGTGTGTAAATGGTAAGGAGTGCTTTATGTGGTTATATGTTCCATCCATTTTAAATTGAAATGTTTTATCACCTCTAATATGTAACATAAACTCAAGTGCACATATTCACATAGTTATATATTTCTTTGTTCATCCTGTTTCACAGCTAACTCTTGTGTTCCTGTGATGAAACTGTCTGTAAAACCTGAAAAGGTTTATGTGACTATGGAGCATATGGACGAGAGCTTGGAGAAAGAACATGGAGAAAATATACAATTTAATGTATCATTCTGGAAAGTGGATAATGGAGGATACTCGAAGGTCTCTTGCATCCTTCACACACAAAAAAATCACGTAAACGTATTCATTCACTATATTTCTGAAAGAGGACTATTGTAAAGCTGATAAGAGTTTTTGATCCTACAGGTAGAGTTTATTATTACAAATAGCAGGAAACAAAAACTTGAACTGGAATCAGGGCAAAACTACTGTTTCCAGGTTCAGTATCTCTTCTATGAAAAGCCTTATGGAAATGTTAGCAACCAAAGTTGTGCAATCATCCCAGAACCGCGTAAGTCTTATTCACTTATTTATTACAAACTGCAAGAGTTTGATTCACATTGTTTGTGATTAAACCCAACCAGAAATTAGTTAGCTTTTAAGCAGATACTGAAATGAATTGCATGCTGCAATACATTATGAATTTTGCTGACATACTTTAATTTGTTTTACTGATCATTCATAATGCCTCATGTTCTTTCATTTCTTTTTTCCTGTGTAGCGGAAATGATAAAGAGCCGTGATTTGCTGTTTATTATATTAACTACACTGCTTTTTACGGCCATGTGTGGAGTCTGTATTTTTCTGCTTTTTAAACACCATAAAAAGGTCAAACAGCTGTTACAGCCACTCCGCCTGGAAATTCCTGACCATTATCTAGAGGTACACATCCATATTTTATAATTATCACTTCACCGAGATAAAGTAAAGTAACTGAATAGGAACTCTGTTAATATGGCAAATTATAACAGTGTACTACTTTTATGTGCAAGTTGTCAAATTTGTTTTGAGTGCTTAAAAGTCTTGCTACCAGGCAACAACCCTCTCTTAAATGATCATGCAACACTTAGAGTCAGATGTGAAGTTTTTTGTTTGTTTGTTTGTTTTTTATTAAATGAGTTCTATTTTCTCTCCCTATATAGTTTTTAAGGTCTGGGGACGGGGAGTTTCCTCTGCAGGCATGTCCAAGTCCCAGCAGTCAAAGTTTACAGTCATGTGACATGATCATAGTAATAGAGAACAGCAGTGTGAAGCAGAAAGGCCAAGAAGAGGAACAAGTTTTTTAACTTAATGATTGTGTTTGTCTTTATGCATATAAAGTGCATTTACTTTTTTGGGGGTAAACAATATGCTTTGCACATCACTAACAAACTATTCTTATAAATTCAAATCTGTACTGTGTAAGTGCAGATTTTTTTAAATACCGGTCCAGGATCAGAAAACAGTTATATTAGTAAGAGGGTATATATTGCTGAACACAGAATATAATTTGCCCCCCCCTTGATTTCAGCTATTTGGGTTAGATTAGATAACAATGTTCAATATGTCTAGCTCTATTAACACTAAATATGAAAATCATTGTTTGTTGCACCAGTTTTAGGACAATGTAATCGCTGTCTGCCTCTAATATACATAAGTATCTAGGATGGGAAAAGCAGGGGTTGAGCACAAGTAAATAATTAAATTCCTGCCCATAACATTTAAATAAGTTTAAATGTATATGAAATCTGCAAATCACTGTAATAATTTAATTAGCTTGTTATTGTTTGGCACTAACTGTGATTGGTCGCTCCATTTGATCCTCTGTTATTTCTTCCCTGTTACAACCCAACTTCTGTTACAACACAAGACACAAGTGCTCAGTTTTTAGTATTGCATTTAGTATTTAGTTACCTTAATGTTATTTAAAATTCCTTCTAAATAGCAGTATACATTTGGTCTTGTCTTCCCCACTTCTTGTATAAGTATATTTATATATTTTCTATTTCTGAATGTCCTTTTTTTGTGAAATTTACTTGGTTGTCATAATTTAAAAAATATATAACATTTCATGTAACGAATGCAGTTATCTACACTGATGGATTCTATATGGAGGAAAGGAGGATCTTTGAGGAGTAGTGTTATCTTGGAAAAGTATGTGCCAGAGCTTATTTTAATTGCATGTTAAAATTGGTTTGCTTTTGATAAAATGTTGAGCTTGTTTATATTTTTATGTTCTTGTAAAAATAAAAAATAAAGTTATAGTGTGAAAGCCTTAATTTGTCATAGTCGCCATGCATTTGACAAGCAATACCAACTAAGTTAGTAGTTGTTGTGGTCAATATTTTTACACAGTAAACTGCACTTAACATAATAGTATAGTTTGATAAATTAATTTTATATAATGTATCAATGAAAATAGTCTTTGAGTTTTGAAACTACTGCTAATTGAGAAAAAAAACACTTGCTGTGTTTTCAGTTTAAGCCAGAGATCAGACATTTGTCTTTGTAACTGAAATCCCTGAATAATGTAAATGTTTGTCTGCTTTTCTTGTTTTGCTTTTCTTGTACAGATTTTGTATAAACTTGCTCAAGAGGATTTGTGCAAGTTTCATAATTGTGAAAAAAGGTGATAGAAATAAAGAAAAGAAACGGGGTATACAGAATTTATTCTAATGACATGATAACATGCAACTTTTACCTGGAATTTTTTTGTTTTCTTTTTACCACAAGAGGGCACAAGCCTGACCAGTACCAAATGGTGTTACTCTCATCTTTAGTTAGTACTCACTTCCTAAACCCTGCTGCTTTAAGAAAACCTAATCATATATTGCAGCATTGCACATCTTTTACCTGAATGGTTACTCATAAAGAAAAGCTGGGAGCGGGAAGCTATTTTAGACTGAACTGTGAACTTGTGCACCCTGTTTTCTTCACAGAACATCCTATCATTGCATGAGGCTGAAGTAAAGAATGTGCCAGCGGCAAACAATGTGTTGGATGGCTTTAGAGATGACAAGGAAAGAGTCTTAAACCCCTTAACTGTTCCTCCTGATGCCTTTGTCTCAATATCCATCAAAGGAATGTTATTAAAAAGCCTGCAAACCCACAGTGAGGAACAAAGGGCTTCAAATACTTAATGGCAGACAGGTGTTTATGCAGGTGATGCTTGACACATGGATGTTTGTGTCCTGAGAAAGAGACACATTTGTCGAAGAGGTTATTTTCTAAACACTATCTAAACTATGAACCAATATCCCTTCTGAAAAAGCACCTTGAACCAGCCTGAGAAGTTTTGCTGGTCTCGGATGGTTTAGCTAAACTGGTCTAGCTTGGCTGCAATGATGGCCAAGCTGCTGTTCAGCTGGATGGTGTCGTGGAAAAATTCTTGGTTGAGAAAGTTTGTCAACTTTTGTTTTTGTCTTCTTTTATTCTTTGCAAAGAGTGTCAACAAACAGAAGGGTGAAGTACCCCGCCATTTACACTCTAACCAGCTAAAACTAGTTCTTTCTACCGGTTAAGATGCTCAGGATTCTATATGCAACAAAGATGATTCAACAAATGACTCTTCATAAGCATTTCATATGCAGCCAAGTAAGAAATTAAGCAAACAAAGTAAATTTTCATCACAATGGCCAGTTAGTCTCCCAGCTTAAAACCAGACAGGAAAACCAGCTAAGACTGGCAAACCAGTTTAGATTTAGCTGTTTTGTTGTTGTTTGTTTTTCTTTAGCAAAGATTGGAGGTCTTTTACTATATGCTAATTGAATCAAAAGCTGTGTAGAACAACTCTGATATAGTTACCTTTGGTCTAGGGGTCTAATAAAACCATTCTTCTGTGCAAAGGAAGATCTCTCATGAAAATATTTATAGCATGGAAAGAAGTACTTTTAAAAACTTGATTTAAAAGGTTGTTTTATAAGTTGAAAGTGATCATCCGCTTGGAGTCGCAAAAAATGCTCAAATTAATTTATTCATTCTGTGCATTCTTTGGTTATTTTAACATTGATTTCTATATGAGCCTGTAAGGATTAATTCTCTTCTTATATGTTAACTACCATTTAAAAGTTTGGGGTCAGTCATTTTTTTTTTTTTAAATAAAAAAATACTCTTATTTAGCAAGGATGCATTAATTTTTTTCAAAAGTCAATGTAAAGACATTTATAATGTTACAAAAGAATTAGAAGTATCCACAAAAATATTAAGCAGCAAAACATTGAATTAAAATGAAAAAATATTGATTATAATTAAGAAATGTTTCTTGAAAACATTACATTTATTTAAATAAAAAATAAAAAACATGGCTTAAAGAAAAGTTTGGAGCAACATTTTTCATCGAGCAAACATCTTGCAGCGCTTATTTCTTCCTGACATCCATTTTCAAATAAACAACTCCTGTGTCACGTGTTGTTTCGCGCCATTCCCGTTCCAATTCTTGCCTGTGTTTTCGTGACAAAACGTGGTTTGTAGAGTCGTTGGGTGACAGAGTTGTTGTCAGTTCGTGTAGTGCGTGACCTCCTGTTGCGGATCATTTACATAGAGTCACGTAGTGTGAACAACACAACGACTTAGAGACAGACAATAAAGTCATGTAGTCTGAACAGCACAGCGATCTGCCGACGTTTAAAGTCGTGTAGTGTGAACTTGGATTAAGTATTTGGTTAATGCTGATGGTTATAACATTTGGTCATAGTATTTTGAGAGCCCAGTACTCTTTCTGGAAGTTCCCCACAGGCAGTTATAGATCACGAATGCAAAACTGGGCAGTGTTTAGGTGTCACAAGCTCCCTGGAGTCAAAGATAATAGCCCTCTCACTCTCAGGTTGAGTGTCTGTCTGTGTATTTCTCTCTTGCCTCAAGGTGAGAAAATGAGTGCACTTGTCATATTTATGTCTGGGTATTTATGAGAAGGAAAACATGAAAGAGAGACAGAAAATATTCAAACTGCATAGATTTCGCTCCACTCCACATGTAACATCACAATAAGATGGTCTGGATAAAAAAATGCCTCAGCAGACACTCCACACGCAGTTGAAACTTCAAAGCTCTGGCATAATAATATCATAAAGTAAATACCGCACATCTTTTACCTGAATGGTTACTCATAAAGAAAAGCTGGGAGCTCTGGCATAATAATATCATAAAGTAAATACTTTAGCAAGCTCTCACAGAGATGTTTTTGTTCAAGATGAGAATGGATTGAAAGTTTGGTAAGAGAATCTTACTTTATACATAGAATTTTCACTTCTGTCCCTGTCTGTCCACATCTAACCTTCTAGAGTTGGTGTGAAACAATTTGAGGGCTTCACATTCATGTGTGCCATTTTCTGCCTAAATATTGGCAATATACAAAGAGTATTTTACTTTACAATGACTAATGTGTTTGAGAATAAAGGCAAAATAAAACACATGGAGAGAATCAAGTACAATAAGCATTGAATTCTGAACTCTGTTTTAAAGACATTTGCTATTTCAAGGACTGCAACAGTTGTCTGATTTGTCATCCTTGTGATATTTGTAGTCATTATTTACTGTACTTGTTAGTCTGTGTAATTTATGTTGTCGAACAAAACATGGAATATTTTCAAGTATGTTAATCACAGACCTTATTTTACTCTAAAATTGAAAACTCATAAGAAATTCACAAGGGAACGCAAGGCCAGTAAATGCTAAATCTAGGATTAAATTAGGACTACAAAATGAACATTTCAGTGAAGGAAGTTAAATATCTTCCAAATCAAAAACTTAAAAGGTAAAATAATTCTGATTATTCTCTCTCTCTCTCTCTCTCTCTCTCTCTTTCATAAGATCAACAATTTGCTCATTGGCCTACAATCAACGATGGGCAGTATTTCAGATACATGTATTTAAAATACAAAATACTTTTTTTTGTATTTCTCTCTCTCTTTCATAAGATCAACAATTTGCTCATTGGCCTACAATCAACGATGGGCAGTATTTCAGATATATGTATTTAAAATACAAAATACTTTTTTTTGTATAAAAAAAAAACCCCGAATGTAATTTGCATTTAAGTACATTTTTCCACACATAATTTTGTATTTGTATTTTAAATACATTTTCCACACAAAATTTTGCATTTGTATTTTAAATGCATTTTAATGTATTTGTGCCCATCTCTGCTTACAATCATACGGCTTTGACAGAGGTTAACTCTAGTTATAGAGAACCTCAAATTGCGAAGAAATGGCAAGATACATACCATTCTAGCACCTTGGACACAATCAAACTCCAAACTTCCAAACTCAAAAAGTGCAAATACTATGAAAAGAAAAACACATTCTCAGCTAAAACGATCAGTTATTGGTTACTTTCCACCACTTTGAGCTCTCATCAAATTTTCATGCATCCAAAAGCCACACAGTATTTAGTAAAATATTCTGTCAAGTGTTTCAGACACACAACATAAACAAGAGTGAAGAGAAAAGAAAGAAAGAACAATAAGCATGTGCATAAAATAAAATATGAATATTATAAATACATCTTTTCCACTATTATTTTGTATATCATCAGATGCATCTAACATAAGAACAGCTGATGTTACAGTAAAATCCACTCACTTTACACATATGCTTTTGTCCCTACGGGGAGAGGAAAGGAATGGCTGACCTTCAGAAAGACCATGCTCTCCAACTGAGCGTTTAATAATGTATCATTTAAAAAGAACTCTATGTAGTACAAACATTTTGTTCTGCTGTGTCTTTTTCATTCAATTGAAATGCTTACTGATGAAACATAACATAACATAACATAACATAACATAACATAATTAGGTATGTCTGACATAATGAAAAGAGTAACAAAATACAACCAAATCTTCATTTTCCTTTTTAAAAAAGCGTAAAGTCATTGGTTTACATTTTATGAAATTTAACATAGCCTAAAAAAAATTAATCTAAAAATTAAAAACATTTGCTAGGTTGCTAAGGGTGATTAAAAATGCATCACCATCTATTTACATTTGATTCATTTTTCTACCGTGTTTCGACCACATGCTGTCTGTGTGAGATTTCTCCAGAAGGTGTCGCTGTGTCTCACGTGAATGTGAAGTAACCACAAGGTGCGCGCGGAGCACCTGTTTTCATCCCACCGCCAAACTTTGGATCCGCTGATCAGGCGAGCGCACATTCACTATAGTAAGTAGTTACGCGGGTTACTTGTCTTTACGCTTTGAGGCGTGTATTTTCAAGTTAATGAATTGTCGTTTTCAAAGAGAAATGGGTGTCAGTATCATCTTACTCAAGGTAGGCTAAACGCGTGTTTTAGCGCAGCTTCTTGACCTCCCACTCGTGCTGTGACGTGACTAGCAGCGGCTAGTAATAAATGAAACGCGCGATTTGAAGCGTCCAGTTGTTCTGCTGCTCCAGCAGACGCGCGTTATCTCTGTCACATGCGGCGGAGCACATTCAGACAGGACGGGAGGTACTTTAGATTTACTTTCTGTCACTTTTTTCTTTTTTGCTATTAAAAAAAACGTAGCTTTCTTATTACACTCATAAGGGCTAATTGAAATCATTGTTCTCAGTGTGTTGGGGGCGTGCAGTGACTGAACAGTTGAAATGTTTGGCGTTGCAGAGGTTCCGTTGATCGCGCTGGACTGAAGCAGCAAACTACTGGAATACATTATCAGCGATTCAACTGAACAAAATGAGCGGCGGTAAGAGGTAAGAGCCTAAAACCTTTTCCTGTATCTATCGGTTCTGTGGTCAGGGTTACAGATCAGTTAACAAGTCTCATCCAGTTCATAGAATAGCTTCTGAAAGCCCTTACAACAACAGACACTGCAAGCTGTTTAAGTGACATTGGATTTACAGTTGAATTTACATTGAAATGACTTACAGTAGTTTTTACGTACCTACTTTTTTACCAGCACTGCCAGATAGGCTGTCTATGAAAACTTTTATAAAATGAGATAATATCAGAGTTATCCTTGAGGTCCTCTTTCCATATTTCACCTGCTGTGAGTTCAACAACATCACAGGCTCTGGTGAATTTCTTTTCTATGTAGTTTTTAAGTAATCGTGCTCATGATTTCTGCCATAGCACCATATGTCAACTCCATTATACTAATTATGAAGACATTATGTTGGATATTTGGATACTGTCCCTCATTCATTATTATTTATTAGTACTTAGAAACACCATACCTTATATGCAAAACCTGGCTAATTTGACAGCACGTTCAGCTATCAACACCTTAAGATTTTCTGTCTAACTGGTGACAGTTCAGTGTATGAGCTTCATTCTTTCTTTCATTTACGTGAATGGAGTATATCAATATTTGTAATAAACATATAATAAGCTATATTCTGCACCCAAACATAGATAAATGCCTCTCATGTTCAGCAGATTCATCCAAAACAATTTGTTAATACGTAAACGTATTTATACATATATTTTTTCATCTTTGTAGCCTGTTATGTCCAAATATGCAAATATCAGTGATACTAGATCTAAATAATCAAGTTAATATTTGCAGAAAGTTTGGTTCTCTTACCCATAAGAGATCGAAGTCAGTTAAGCAGATTGTTATGTGTAAAACGCTAAAGAAATCAGAAAAGAGCTAATTGATAATTTCACTGCCTTCATTGGTAGATTAATTTACGATGATTTTATTAGATTTTATTATTGATTTTGCTGCAGTTAAATCTGTGTCACCACTCACCAGTTTTGCGTATTAAGTGTGGGTGTAGTGTATTATGCTAGTTTATTATATTTCATGAATGTACCTTCAAAGATTTTTTAATATGGCCTTAATCCTGTTTAGTCATCCGTTGTTCAAGAAAGCTGATTCTTAAACGACAGTTCACCCAAATGACACCAAAGTATTTGGAAGAAAACGTGAACTCATCTGATGTGAAGGAGTACTGTTGGTGCTTGCTGTGTCAGTATCTGTTCTATAGGTGGCAATGAAGAATGGGGGAGGAAGAGGGATAGTTTCAATCTAAGGGGACAAGTAACAGTCAGAGTCTGATGTTAAAACAACAACAACACGTTTTAGTGCAGATCTTGAATTTTTCTTTTTTTGTCTACTTTACTACAAGAGATTTTCACCTTTTAACAGACCCTGGATTAATTGAGAGCCTACTTTTAATAGAAATGTTTTCCTTACAATTTGTACTTTCTGTACAATTGAGATTACTATAAACAGGATTGTTTTGTCTGTTATAATCATACGGGTTATGAATTGTGACATTGTCCATGAAACTGGTATCGTTGATGGTTGCTATTAACAGTCCTAACTTTGGTGTGTGTAAAGTCTAGGTGTTAGAAACATGGTCATGTCCACACACCCCTCTGTTAAACCTATTCACTGACCTATTAACCAGTCATCTAGTATTATAGCACGTCAAAGATAACCAAGTGCTATACAATCATTCACACATGTGTTTGCGTCACAGTTAACCTACCGTATGTAGTTATTGTTTTTAACAGCATGTGTAAAACCAAGTGTAAAACCCCCGCAAGTTTTAGTAATATAGCTTTTTAAATGGTTGTTGGTGTATTACTAACTTAACTTTTAGCTTTCCAGTTAAATGGCCCGTTGGATGACACATATCTTGACATACTGTACACTTTGCCAGAATTGCAACATATGCACATTGGGAAAGCATGCCTCTACCTACTTTTTTGCAAAATGTACCTATACATACTATTAACTGCAGTTTCTAGCTGAAATGAACACTAGAGGCAGTAAAAATCTTATGACCTCAAAACACTTTTACCATAGTGCATGATCTGTGAACTAATACATATTTATGTTTGTATCACATAACCAGTTCCATTTGTATGACTTTTCTGACATCGTAAACTTGATCAGTAGCTCACCCGGTACAACATTGCACTTGTGATGCTGAGCACCCAAGCACAAATTCCATGAAACACAAGTCATGATAAAAGAGACTTGTAGAAGCAATCTAAAATGACATAGTTGATTCAGCAAATGCGATTTTATCTCACTTTACTCATGTTAACACTATCGAATAGTTTTAGGATAGGGTCTAGTGTATAGGTGGTATGTTCTTTTCAAATGCAATAGAGCATTAACATTTTAGCACCACTAACGGATCATTTCACTTCCGAACTGTTGCGATACATATAACAACGAATGTAATAACCTGTTGCCAGATTCACATTTCAGATAAATCTGAACACACTGTTAGTGCCACTCACTTTGAAAGTGTTATGAAATGTGCAAGAAGCAATGTAATATCATTTTGCTGAAATCTCACCACAGGCACGTTTTTTTCAATGAGCCTGGGTAGCAGAATTGAGTGGGTAAACTTGCCATCTTTTCAGCATGCTTGATTGCATCTAGTTGAGATGTGCAGAGACACTGGGCTCTTGGGGAGCTCTGCGCTCTTATCAGAGAAACGAGCTCTATCCTTCCTGTTTGTGTTTACATCTTGGTTTGTATTTATTTTTTGTAAACATGTAATGAGCCCATTGAGGAAATCATTACCCTAAAGTGTGTTCTCTGGGCATTAAATGTTTTAAATGTATTTTAGAAGTGAAAAGCACTCTATTATCAAACCTGTAAAGATGATTGTGATCTGAACAAATAACATCATATCCATTTACTGCACACTTTTAGTCACACCTTTATTCCTGAAAGAGAAGATCAGTGCCTGAATTGTTTCGGTCTGGTCTTTGGACTCTTTGTCACTAAAGTGACAAAGAGCAGTCACACCTTGCTTGGAGCAATAATCTTTATTCCTAGTGGGCAAATGGCTACATACTTCCCCAGATGCAGCTATAAAGTATATGGAGAGTGTCTCAATGAAGAATTTAAGATATTAAATCTTTCATGTATTAATGGACATAGAAGCATTGTCTTCTAACAACATACTCTTTAGGCAACTTAATGGCCAAACTAATCACTCTTAAATCATTGTGATATTCACTATGCTGCTATTGCTTAATTTTACTATGTAGTAAAAGCAGAACATGTCAGATAAAAGTTTAAGTGCTTCATGTCGTACATAAGCCTACTCTTAGTTGACTAAGAGTTGACTTCTCCAGTGATATAACTGAGTTTATTAAAAAAATCTGTAAGGAATAGCATACCACCTCTTCACTTATTATTTAAAAATGTCAAACAGGAAATGAGTTCATTTCAGCCCTGCTATGGATCTTTATCCTCCTCATTCCAGACATCCAGTATTGGACAAATTTGTTTGAGTTTTTCTTGCTTTATGTTTTTGGTCTGCTTAGACATGCATTTATTTTATTTATTTATTTAAATTTTTTTTTTACTTCAGCATTTTACATACAGTATACTCTGTAAATGTGCAGTGCTTCTATTTATCTAGCAATACTGGTAAAAAAAATAAACATTGTCATATATAATAATATCAGATTTAGATATCAAAATGGGATATACATATTAAATATTGAAATGATTTTCAACCCTGCTATGAATGTTTGTCCTCCACATTCTAAACATCCTAAATATTGGACAAATTTGTCTTAAGTCCAACATAATATTTTTATAACTACCATATTTTCTGCAATGCAAGTCGCTTTAAAAAAAAATGTGAAACACGATTTTGACACTTATTCCAAAGCGACTTTTTATTGCCCTGTATTTCACATTATTTCTAAATGTAATAATAAACCAATGCAATGCTCATCTGTATATTTCAATAAAATTTTGACCTGGTGTGACTACAGTCAGGTGTGAACTATTTTTAGGAAAATACAGTAAACATTGTTTGTTTGTAAAGTTTCCTATTTCAGGACAGATTAAGTTATGTTTCATTACTGATCTAATGTCAGAAGAGCATATAATGCCTCGTAATCACTTGAGAATAATAGGCCAGCTGGAGAAATCCGATTGTCATAAATAGTGTTTGAGTCCATGCTCAGTGTTTATTCCACCCACATGTAACTTGTTGTATTAGCATTAGTATCGCTCGTTAGCTGATTTGAAATCTGTGTGTGGCAGCCCGGCTCACACCTCCTGGACATCAGACTCAATTAGCATCTTGCAAGGCTGCCCAGTCCTCCCCATCCCCCACAGACCGGATTACCCTCCCAATGTCTACCTGACCGCTCCTGCGTCCCTCAAGGGCAGCACTCAGAAAAGGACGGTGACCCATAAGTTGCAACGCACATCTACTAACCCGGGCTGGATCCAGAACCAAAGACTTCCCCCTTGTTAGCGTTACCTGCTAACCTGGGAACATGGCTACTACTAGCAGAAACACACTGCAAGTGAATGAGCCACGCCGATATGGCTCCACGTTGTCTTTAGAAGAGAAATGTGAGCAGTCTTTCTTTCTCTTTTACTACTACAGGATGGAGGATGAGGCTGTGCTGGACAGAGGGGCCTCGTTACTCAAACACTTTTGTGATCAGGAAGAAGTTGAAGGCAAGTATCTCAATATATTTTTTACACTAAAGCCACTTTTTGATTTGGATTGTGAACTAAAGTTTGAAGCCTAGGAAATGTCTCTTATTGTGAAGTCATTTGGGGTTTGCTTTGATACAGTTAGATTTGAGTGGTATAATTAGTATGTTTACTTTAGGGTGATGAAGATGTAGGGCACAAATACTAGGTGACTTTGTGTTTACCTTGCCAGCTTCCTTCCGGTCCAAATATAGATTTAAATGAGTCCTAGTGTGTGTTGTTTATCAGAATGCAGTTTAAGAGCATGTTTAGGAAATAACTTTTATATGATTTATTTATTTTTTTTAATGAATGAAGTCAGACAGCTAGAATCAGAATAAGATATTTGTCCTGGTGAAGCTTGTAGTACACACAAAAAAATAAAAAATAAATAAAACAAGAAGACACGCATAATAAAATAAGTGAATAAATAATCAAATAAATATTTAATTATTTGTAATAACGTAATAGCTACATCAGTATAATCTGTTAATGTGAATAATTCAAGGCTTAATAAAAAAGCACAATGACTAATAGGTCCTCATCAGGTGTCTGAGCTACATACAGCAGATATCTTTGACTTTTGAATGATAGCAGGGAGGAGAGATGGACCTGTGTTTCATCTTCTCTCTTTGTTCAATTTGCATGACTTTAAGAGTTCCTTATCGTTTCAGCTGTGATTGAACACAGTTCCTCCTCTTCCTGCTCTCAGAGTGTGGCAGAGGCTGCGTTCACAATGAATAATAGCTTACAGCTTACTGAATACTGCACAGTATAAACTCTATACAGCCTACTATTCTTTAAAACAGGAAGGAAATCAGTATTATGCAACGATAAACATTTCAAAAAGTAGTATGTTACTGTTGCACGTGCATGGTGTCCAGTTATGATCTTGGGAAAAAAATTGTAAGTTTGTGCAAAAATGTTTTAACTTTTGACAAAAAAAATATAAAAACATTTGGCCAAAAAAAAAAAAAAAACCACTGTTGTGCACTATTTATTTTAAATTGTCAGTCATTTGTGCATACTGAATATTTGCATACTAGGTGTAGTATACATACTATATACTGCAGAGATGGTAAGACTAATATGTCAGTATGCTATTCTGAACTTTTAAGAGAAATGTTTTTCTATTTGTATTGTTTCTTTTAGCTTTCAAAAGAGACTACTACTATTATTTAAATGGGATTACTATTACTGCTATTTAATTGGAATTTGGAGAGCTATATGCAAATTGAATTTTGGTTTAGTTTTGCCATTGACAGTTTGACTAACTTAGCAACCTACATTTAAATGTGCAGTTTACATTTATAATAATATTTTTTTTATGCTTCACTACCATTCAAAAGTTTGATGCCGGTAAGATTTTTAAAATTATTTTTGAAATAAGTCTCTTATGCTCGCAAGGCTGGATTTATATGATCACAAATATAGTAAAAACAATAATATTGTAAAATTTTATTACAAAGTAAATAAACTATTTTCTATTTTAATATATATTAAAATGTAATTTCTTCCTGCGACGCAAAGCTGAATTATCAGCATCATTACTGTAGTCTTCAGTGTCACGTGATCCTTCAGAAATGATTCTAATAATAAAAATTATTCTAATTATTTTCTTTACTGTCAATTTTGATCAATTTACTTAATCTCTGTTGAATAAAAGTTAGTGCTGTCAATTGATTAAAAAAAAAATTTCTGAAATTAATCGCGATTAATCCCACCTAGCATTAAAGTTTTTAAATATACTTTTATATTGCAATAATTTCACATTTAATCTTCAAATTAATGTAGAAACAACATAAAACAGTATATTTTTTATATTTGTTTAATGGCATATTTTTTATGACTGAAGGCAAGTATCACTGATACCACCAATACTACTGATGTCTCTGTGAAATTGTTTTTTTCCCCTAATTACCAATTGACTATAGCCATTCAAACATTATAGTATAATTGAGAGCTATCAATTTGAACATTCATTAGACTTGAAAAAATAACAACTTATAATTTATGTGAACTTAAAACAATCTTCACATAAATCCATTATAATAAGTGTCATATTTACCTGTGCCCTTCAGCAAGTAGGAAATAAAATATACAAAAATTGAATAAAGTTATCAAACACTAAATTCTAAATTAAATATAGATGAATACTTAAAGCTACAAAAGTTATTGATTTCCTTCTTTTCATTTGTTCTTTGATTAACAGACATCACAGCAGCTGGGTTAGTTTATTTTGGCTGCTTTAAGAGCTGCCGCTGCTGAACATGACCCGGATCTGACACGCATCGTATTTTCTCTCAAGTCTTTACCTTTTTTGACCCAATTCAGGTCTTAAAGTCTCTATAATGAGCTGATGAGTTGAATCGGGTGTGTTAGATGAGGGAGATAGTGCTGGGCTGCTCCAGGACAGTTTTGAAAACCACTGCATTTCAGAGATATCTTCCTAAATGTGACTCACTTACATGCACAGTTTTAAGGCAGCTTTAATTGCCTTTTTGGTAACTTCATGACTTAACTGAAGACATAACTACGACATTACACACTCGTAGTTTCTTTCGTGCTTTAATATGAAATGATACAGGCTACTTCATTTGCTCACACAAATGCTGCAGCACACTCTGTAGCCTCTGCGTTAATTATGTCAGTTATTTTAGCTTGTTTAACTGAAAAAATTAATCACCTGCATTAACGCATTAATTTTGACAGCACTAATAAAAGTATTATTTTTCTTAAAAAAATCTTCCTGACTGCAATCTTTTGAACGGTAGTGTACACTGAAAAGAACATTAGTCTTAGAAATCACAGAATGAAAAATAGCATTGGCCTGCTCTCAAAGTAAACTATAACAGAGCAACATGTGCCTGCTAGACAAAGAGCCCATATGTGGCAGTTCTTTTAGAGGTAGCGCTTTATTAACAGCTATATTAGCATGCACAGTGGTGTGTCGCTATCTTCTGTACTTGTACCCTCCATCTCAACAGCTCTGTTACTGCGGTAACACAAAGTGCTCAGATGTTGAAGCCCATAGGGCCCAGCCAAATTCAGGAAATACACTTTATCCAGTGACGAATTGCATGCCACACCAATTCAGGCCTCTTTCTATGGTCGCATAGAAAAGGGTTCCTCCGAAAGAACAGGAAGCTTGGCACAAAGCTGGCTCGACAATGTGTGGTTCCTCCCTCCATCTTACCTCTCCCTTTCCTTCTCTTAGTCCTTACTCCTACTCCCTTTTCCTTATTTTGCTCTCGCCCACCCCAGCATAGGTGGGATCCATATTCATAAAGGTTCTTGATGATCTTTCTGCATCATTTGTTTGTTTATTAAAAACAAGCAAAGAAAATGCAAAATGTCAACAATTTGCAATCATTTTCCAGAATGTTTTGCAGAAAAGATACTGGATGTGCCCTGGAGCGGACCGATATGACTGGTTCTTAACTTTAGACAAACAGGCAGATAATTAAGTCACGTTCTCAATCTACATGATTTATATTCATGATGTATTTTTTTCCAAAACAATTTAACGCCCAAGTAAGATTTAGAAATTAAAAGCTTTTTGTATATATTTTTTAGCAAAATAAATATAAAGTAATTCATACTATGGCATTGTGACAAATTACATTTTAACCAAGTATGATCTATTGTAGATGTTGTAATGTGAAGTACATATAATGAGCTTACATGGTAATAAAATAAGATAAAGAGATGAAAAGATGAGATAACACACTCAACGCAAGCAAACACTTGTCACCTTTGGAAAGAAAATTTGGACAGCATTCAAATGCAGTGATCTCTTGGTGGCAGTGAAAGTATATAATAAGAAAAGAGACAGCAGGGCTGTGAATCCAGTTTAAATAGATCTTTGTGTTAAGGTTCAGTGGATAATCATTTTGTCCTTTTGCATTTTGTCAGAACCTCAGAGGTGGAACCATGCCTCCTACTTTTAAGAGACAGTTTTAGTAGGTTTTAGCAGGGTTAATGTAAGATTGGTCACTGTTTGAGAAGAAACACATTATACAATCATAATAACAGGAGCAGTCATACAGTATATTGTCATTGTAATAATAATATGAGACAAATATATAATAATCATAGATCAAGTTTTTTAGAAGAAATCTCCATTTAGAAAAAAAAAATAAAAAAATCCAACTCTTGGTTTTCAACCCAGTACATCCTGAATCTGTTTAGACATATGTAGCTATTTTATTGCATGAAATATATTAATTTATAGGGGTGGGACAAAATATCGATATGGCGATATATGGTTGTTCTTCTCCATGCGATACGAGAATCGATACACTGGATAAATATTGCTATTTTAATGAATACAATAAGGCGCTCTAAATAGATATCCCTGCTCGCGGTGTCTAAAAATGCATGGAAATCGTGGCCGCGCCATTTTCACCTTCTTTCCAAAGTGCTTTAAGTTTAAGTTTTTAATAAGTCCAAGAATAAAATGATTAATTTACTTAACATGTTAAATTGGATTTACAGAAATGTTTGTTTTCTGTTTTCTAACAGTTTGGACTTGAATAAAGAGCGAAAACTTGCACGTAACCTTTTCACAGGCATTTTGTTTCATAGTTAGACAGATATCGTGATGTATTGTCTAGCAATTTATCGATTATCGCAGAATTGCTGTATCGTGATATTATCGTATCATGAGCCATGTATCGTGATTCGTACCGTATTGTGAGGTACCCTGCGATTCCCACCCCTATTAATTTACGTACGACTTATAGTTAGTAATTTTAGACCAAATATTGACACACAGTCATCTGGACTATCTTTTCTATATTTAAAGGGGTCATATGATGCGATTTCAATTTTTCCTTTCTCTTTGGAGTGTTACAAGCTCTTGGTGCATAAAGAAGATCTGTAAAGTTGCAAAGACTAAAGTCTCATATTCCAAAGAGATATTCTTTATAAAAGTTAAGAGTCAACCACGCCTACCTAAAATGGCTCGTTCTAACACGCCCCCACATACCTACGTCACGATCTCGGAAGATTTGCATAACGCCGCCCAAACGTTCACGCAAAGAAAGAAGCCGTAACTTTTATTCTCGCTGTAGTATTGTTGTTGCCGTGTGTTTCGTTGTGAAAGCGAAACTACTTTGTTTGACCTTCCAAAAGAGGACGATATCTGCTTCGTCATGCCTGGAGCTGATCCGTGCTGGTAACTGAGGAAATACATCAACATCGCGCTGTGCATCGCCGGATCGGCTTTCACCGTGGACGAAGACCGGGGTCGTCACATGTGGTTGCCGCATCACAGTATGGTAAGGGACGTAACATTTCCGTCACACGCTTGAGGAATTCGGCCAATTTGTTTGGCCTTCCAAAAGAGAACGATATCTGCTTTGTCATGCCTGGAGCTGATCCGTGCTGGTCGCTGAGGAAATACATCAACTTCGCGCTGTGGATCGCCGGATCGGCTTTCACCGTGGACGAAGCGGAGTCCAGCTCGGGGTCATCACATGTGGTTGCCGCAAGCCCGCCGGACGCTCCTTCGTCAAATCCGCCGGCCGCGCCGTTCTCAAGCCCGTCCGCCTCCGCTCACTCAAGCCCGCCCGTCGCCGCTCACTCAAGCCGGCCTCCGCTCACTCTAGCCCGCCGTCCTCCGCTCACTCTAGGCCGTCGTGTGGTTCGTTGTGAAAGCGAAACTACTTTGTTTGGCCTTCCAAAAGAGGACACGACTAGAAATCAGTGGTTAAGTTATATTTACAACACTGTACCAGAACAGTTCAACCCAAATATTCAGATGTGTTCAGCGCATTTTATGGAGGACTGTTTCCTGATCCTGGAAGAGTAGACTACAATGCCGGCTGTTCTGAATCACAGACTGTAAATACGTTTTCATATTTAAAG